CACACACACACACACACACACACACACACACACACACACACACACACAATTCACAATTTCCCAAAAAGTGGTTGTTGTTTTTTTACACATAAATTCCATACTGCTCTAGTAGTCAAGTTGACATTTCCATATTTTTTAGTTTTCATTTGAATCTTGCAATTGTGCAATTAAGCTACTTCCCTATTCTGTAATAGTTGCACTATCTTGAGTAGATCCCTATGCTTGCTTCAGAAACTTTGTAAGGACATTTGTAAGTGGCTTACATGAACGTAACTGGAATTTTGTGCCAAGCATTAGTTTGAATAAAATATGTTGTTCTCAGTGTTAAAATCATCTTTGCAATTGTTAATGTGGAAAAATAAAATAAAAAACAATGACACAAAGGCAGTGTGGTTCTAAACCATTCACAAAAATGTACAGGCTTTTTTTTTTAATGCCAGTTTTTAGCTTTAGGGGCTGTTATTTGATGTTACAACCATTGAGCAGGTTTGACGAGGACGCCTCTCTTCTACTTTTTAGTATCAGATGAAAGGATTTTGCCTGGAAGCAGTGAAAAAGGTGGTACACATTTATTGCACTTTGCTATTGAAAATGGGAAATGGCGGCTTCGAGTTGGTGAGTGGGCTGTGTTAAGTGTTCCCGGAAGAAGTGAATGTATGTGGGTTATTGCGTGTGTGTGCGTGTGTGTGTCCCTGCCAGCTTGTGTGTGTTGATGTGTGGGTGATGCTGGAAAGAAAAAGGTTCTTAAACGGCAACAGTAAAAAAACCATCACAATGCCATCCAGCCATACATAACTGCTGCTACTATAGAAATGATGGTTTTGTTTAAAACTCTGCAGTCCTCTCTGATTCGTACATGCATGCAGGCAGACTGATGAAAGCTTGAATGCAGACTGCTTGACCAGTTTCGTATGGTGCCCTTTTGTGTGTGTCCTGATTTAGGATAACACTATATTAGCGCATGAGTACATAACTGTCACAGACTTACTCCCTTGGTTACAATTGAAAACTGTGTGCACGCTGGCTTTTCCTGTTATACTGTAGTTATTTAACACCTACTGCCTACAAGTGTTAGACGGGCATATTGTGTTGACAGCTTCTTGCTAAATGCTAACACTAGTATTACCATCTAACATTGTTTTTATTTCTTTTCTTTTGAAAGATAAAATGCATTTACTGTATAGCTGGTAAAAAAAAAAAAAAGAATTGCAGAGAGTTTATCTAAATTTGCAATAAACCCAATCTGACATTATAGTATCAGGAACTCATTTTGCTAATGGACCCTAAAGCAAAATTGTTGCTGGGCTTTCTGATATATAAATACCAAACAGTACCAAACTGCCTTGTGCTTCAGCACCTGGCCATGACAAACTCTCCTTGGGTTTGGCCACATTTTTGGAGCTTTTGGATTATTTTTTTAAATTAAATATTTGCTGTTTGGTTTCATTGGTGTTCTAATGTTCAAAGTTTTTGATTATTGTTAGTTTCCTGTTGTGATTTTATTGTATTTCCAGTATCTTTATCCTTCCAGGTCTAGTTAATTTTTAGTGTTGGAGTGCATTGTTATGGGATCTGAATACTGGTTAGGATAATGGATTGCTCTACTGTTGCTTTTCATTCAGCTTTAGTTCCTAGTTTGAGTTTGTTACCTGTGTTTAGCTCCCTCAGTGTTTCCCTATCTCCTTTCGGTCCTCCTGCTGCCAGTTTGTTCATTTATCTTTTATTCTTGTGGCTCGTTTTCCTCTCATGTCCACTGTTTCACTTTCTGTCTGTTTATTGTGTTGATTAAGTTCTGTTTCCTATTCCCAATTAGTCCTCTGTGTACCTCTCTCTTTGTCATTCTCTTCCTGTTCCTGCTTTTTGTCAGGTTTTTTATATTCTTGGTTTAATCAGTTCCGTATTTGCTTTCATTCTGGACTGTTTTACCAGCTTAGAAATAAAGCTCACTTTTTTTGTGCTGGCCTGCAGTTGGGTCCATCTTTGAACTGCATCTTGAGACAGCACTCTTTCCTGGATAATGAAATGAATTCAGATTGATAGTTAAATTACAAAAAAGTCTGCGCCGACAGAACTGGATTCAGCTCACATTTGATCATTCATTAAAAAAAATCAAAAACAATGGTAAACAACTGACAGTATTACACATTGCGGTATCATTCTTGTATTTCTATGTAAAAAGCTGTTGCATTCCTTATTCTTTATGTTACTTTTAGGTTTGGCAGTATTTTTATAAATGTTACTGTGTGTTATTGAAATGTAAAATTTCCTTTGTCGTGATGAAAATAGAGAAAGTATTACAGGTATTTTTTCATACTTTGTGTCTGCATGGGATGTTGTGTTCCCATGGTGACACTTGCAGCCTTCACTAGCAGACATGGTGTTATGAAGACAATCTCAGCCCCCTCATGCTGCCTTTCGTCTCACATTTTGAGTGACATGAAAGAGCTACTGTAAAGCAAAATGGACAGAGAATTAGTCTGGTTGAAACATGTTTAATAATATTGCATTGACCTTGTATGTCTGTGTCTGGGTAGAGCAAGTGTCAGCCCGGATTGTACAGGAAGTGACAGCAGAGGCAGTGGCAGTACTGAAGGGAGAGCAGGAGACTCAAAGACTGCCATCAGGTGAGCTATAAAAATGCACATATGTTCTTTAATGGTGCTACAGAGCAGTAGCAATTGGAAAACTATAATATGCAGGCCCCTGTTCACATGGGACCTGGCCCTGGGTGCAGAGGACATGTCTCCAGATCCCTAAAAGCAGCATTTCAGGAGTCGGAGCACCTAATCCATCTGCTAGACAGCTGAAATTATTAATCTTTAGTCCTATTGTTATACCTGTTTTTTTTAATAAGTGAACAGTGGAGCAATATAGCAGACTGTTACTAACCTGAAAAGACTCGCTAATTGAAGAACGTTAAAAACATGTTGCAGCAAAAGAGAATACGTTGGAGACACAGAAATGTCTGTATTTTCCCTCAGCAACTCTAGTAGTTCTTTCTAAACAGTAGACCAGTTGTATATTTTGTTTAATTAGTCTCATAACCTGCACACTTGAAAACCAGGCTTCTGGTTGTCAAACATTTACATGGAACAGTGTACCTGTAGTAACAAGAGTAGCTCATACCTCCATCCTTTAATTAGTCACTTTCAACTCCCACGTTGCCTAGCCTGTTTCATACTGTCTGACCCCCGTCTTTGGCAACAGAATCAAGCAGGGAACAGCCACATATATAATACCCATAACAGGAGTAAAATGTGCATAAGCATATTGTAATGTGCCTGTGTATATGTACAGAAAGGATATATGATCTGTGCAGTTTATAACTGTGATTTAAAAAAAAAAAAAAAAGACTAAATTGTTTCTAATTACTGCTGCAGTGAAAATTGTGAGCAACTGACACTGAAACTAAAAATAACAGGGAATATGCACTCACTGGTATTAACTGATGATTTAAGCAATGGTTGGACAGCAATCCTGTTTGGCTGCCAGATGTGGTACCGATTGGATGGCCAGAGTTCATATTTAGCAGTGCCTTTCTTTTTCTGCTATTTAAACAGAAAAATACAAAGCTATTGCTTATTCACAGCACTTTTTTTTACAGGATTCTGCACCTGTACTCCATGTTTTACTCTTTTTTTTTTTTTTTTTTTTTTTTTTTTTTTTTTGATGGAAATTAGCAGTTTTCAGCCTTGCAATACCTTGCTATACATATATATGCTTTGTATACATGCTAGGCATGTTACCTTGCAAGAAGTGTTTTCTGCTAGTGGAAAGTATCCTTTATAATATGTGATTTTCTTTTTTATTTATTTATTTTTTTTAATAACTTCAGTCTTTTATCTCTGTCACACTTTCTAGTTGAAGACACCACCAATTTGCCTCCCTCGCCTCCCCCCTCACCTGCTGCAGAGCACTTTGGACCTCTAGAACAAGGTAGGCCAAGAATATAAATACATACTCGGTATGTCTCTTAAAGAGAGAGACTTCTTCTTTTGACTGTGGCTTCTGATGCTTTATGACCACCAAGACTTGGGTCTTGGTGTATGCTTGCACTGGAAGTGCCCCACCTCTCTGGACACGCCCTGCCTAAAGGGCATGAACCACACGTTGATAAACGTTCAGAAAATCTACTTAAGCTGCTATAAGCAGAAACATCTTCTCCTTTTTTCCTGTCATCCATTTCTTTTGGAATACTGCATATGTGTCATCATTGTATGCCTGAAACAGATAAAATGAATATCTTCATTATCATCCCCATTTATCCTGACAAAGACGCAATAACATGCATGAACACTCCACCTCTACTAAGTGCACTCTTTTTGTCATCCTTTCCATCCATTTCCTTTTCTAACCTCTTCATTTCACTGTCTTCTACACACTAATATGACAGCCAATTTAGGTAACCCTCTGATTTCTTGTTGTTTGTGATTTTACTTGAGTTATGTCTTCAGTTTTGCCTGTCTAATCATTGTGTTGCGTTTTTTGGTCATTGTACCCTGTGTCTTTGGCTGTGGCTATAGGTGACAGAGATCTAGCTCTGTTTATACAAATTATACATTTAAGGACTAAGAAAGCTGCAGCAAGGTGTAGAAAAGCCAATAAATTGGGTATTAAAAAAGCCCCTCCCAATGTAGAAATGCAATCTAGTTACATAATTTAGTATAGCTTGCCTCTTGAGAATGGAAGATGATGAATGCCGTTTGCACACATAAAATACTTTATATTTAATTTACATTTTCTGAATCACACAGTGTAGATTTATCCTGTGATTTTGAACATCCCAGTTAGAGCTGTGATAAAGTTTGATTATTTATGTTTGATCTAATTTTTTAAGCAGTGACTGGGCTATAAAACTAAAACTAAAAGAAATAAGGTTAGGAGCTGCAAAGCCTTGTGACATGTGTTGTTATGTGTTGTGTGCTCATGACAAACAGCTGTAAAGCTGTTGGGATGTAGGTTCCTTACTGTAGGTGGAATGTTTTACAGGACTGAGTAGTTTGTATTAGTGTTGAGGTTTGTTCTCACTGTGGCTTTTAAAACCCCCACAAAACATTACAGGTTTGTTAGCGACTTCTGATGTATTAGTGCTATAACTGTTGTAGCTGTTTATTTTTAATGTTGTATGTATTTTATTTTTGGTTGAATCATTCGTATGTGAAGCAGATATCTTTCACAAATGATGCAATATGCCCGTTTTGTTGCTCTCAAAGAATGGCTGGCCCCCAAAGCTTTGTTATCTTGAGTTGCTTGTCACTGTCTGTTTGTCATTGTCCTCTGTGTGTTACGTCTCTCTTGCTCTCAAACAAGTTTTCTCTTCTTCTTCTTTGGCATTCCCCTCTCTGCTGACTCTTTCTGTTTCTTTTGTCGGTTTCTCTTCAAGCTTTATCTCTCTTTTCACTGCAAAAAATGTCCATCTTAAATAGTCAGGCAAAAATTGTTTTGAACTTGCTGGTTACTTAGCATTTCGTAAAAGTTAAAGGACCATAGCTGGGCCCATATTTGTTCTGCTTTCAGTTCTGTTCAGTCTAGTATCAGTAGTAGCTAAATCAATAAGGATACAATAAATGCAGAATATATTTTCCTGGTCATATCTATAAAGTTTAATTCTGCCGTTTGACCAGTCTCAAAAAGTTACATGTGCAAAGTGACTGCTGTTCAGTTGAACTGGCTGATGAAATAATAAAGTCGAGACCAAATGAAAAAGTTTGGACCAAAGCTCCAAAAAAAGCTCCAAAAAAAATCTTTAATTGCATGTTAAGTCACTTTTAAGATGGCCATTCTTTGGTGGGTTTTTTTTTCCAGTTTTTTGCTTTCTTCTCCCTTTTCCTTTATCTTTTTTTCTCCATCCTTTTCACTCTCTCTTTCAGTCTGCGTGTCCAGATTTCCCTGCAGTTCTTCTCCTTGTGTCTGTCTTGTTTGTAGATGTAGGGGATGAGGAGGAGGCGGGCCCTCTCCGCCGCTTCCAAAATTCTCGTGAGAGGTGCAAGTTCCTCGCCCCCTCCATCTCAGTTTCCGTGCCCGAGGACGACCCCTACCACTCCGAAGAGGAGTACTATGAGCACCCATTGTTCAGCCCAGAGTGGACGCACTCGGGCTCTCGCCCCACAGGGCAAGCCGTGGCCTTTAGACAGATTGAAGGTGAACCACGCATGGTTCCTCTTTGCCATCCCCCCTCCCTCAATCTCCTTTCTCTTTCTTTCCTCTCCTCTCTTGTGATTTGACTCCCTTCCCCCATTCCTCTCTCCTTTCGTCTTTCCGTCTCTCCGTCCGTCAGCTCGTCTCTTCGTCTGTCTTTGTGTGCGTTTGTGTGTCCTTGTGTTGGTTATTCAATCAAAACAGCATATTAATTTAACAGCCATATTTCTCTTCTGTTTTAAATTTCTTTTACCCAAGCCCATTGCTATCCGTGTTTGCCATGCTGTTAACTCTAACACATAGTAGTGATGGTTCAAAGTAGTTATATAAATAACAGTGTTTTATTGCCATTCGCTCATCAGTCAGACCATCGTGCAAGTCTGACTTGTGGAACATGACCATAAGCCTTTCATAGATGTCTTGGAGACCCAGAGATGTATTTTGGTTCTTTTCTCCAGACTACTTCTCATCCCCTAAACCATACTGTGCTATGTCAGACCCTCTACACTCATCCGTACCTACCTTTACACTCTCACTGTGGCAACAAGGAAGACTTTCAGCTCAGACATATTCACCCACATTTGTGGTTCAGAAATGTGGACGTCATGCACATGCAGTCTTATGAGGCCCTTCTGCCTTTTTAATAAACACCCATTATCAACTCTGTTATAAAAAAAAATCATTTCATTCATTTGTTCTTGTTATTCGGGGTCATCAGTAAGCATAATAAATAACCTTTTAAAAAAGCAAACCAATCTAAAAATAATCAGCTGATTTTTCATGGTTTTTTTTGGCATTTTTTAACAAGTTTGTCAGTCATTCAGCACAAGATAAGTGTAAAGTCTAGTATGACTGTAATGCTGTGAAGGTGCTGTAAAAATAGCATAATAAATCTTTGGAAATCTAATGGCAGAATCCAAATCCCTATCCAGTAATATACAAAAAAAGTAATATAGAGAAACCAAGAGCCCATCTCAAACCGATTCAACTTGTCTCAGTTATTAAACTTTCCTGATGCTGCTGATTTTTTTTTCTTGCTCAAAAGAGTACAGGAAAGAAAGTTCTTTCTCCAGAGATATTAAATTAAAATGAAATGAAAAGCCAGAACTCTTGACTCCCATAGCTTAGGGATTCAGAAGTTATCTTACAGGACATATTTTACTGTCGTTGTTTGGAATCACAGATCTCAGCTGAACTTAACATTTGTGTAATACTGAAGACATTTATTAACTTCTAGTTAGTGTAAACTAATGTAAATGATCATATTTAATGACTATTAGCAACCACTTTGTACGATCAGCTGCAAATCCTTAGAAAGATGCGACATTGTCACGGTGGATCTGCAGCTAACTCTCCTTTCACTCAAATGAATACAATGTTCCTTCATTTACTTGCATATATAGTATCCTGTCCATGCAGTGTAAAGCCATGAAGTGTTGTTTCCTGTTATCTTTACCACTAAACAACTGACCTTAGTCGTAAAAGATCAAAGGTCAGTATCTGTTAAGGATTTGCTTATGGACTGGAAAAAATATTTTAAAAAGACAGATATTTGGGGGGAAAACATATTCTTCTAATATGATAAAAAGAAAACAAAAAATGCATAAATAACAGCAGTCTGTACTGTATGTGTAATGTACATATATGTGTGAACAAATAAATATTTAGGCCATCTTTCCCTAGAGCTGAAAGTGTCCCGTCATAAGTTGTGTTCTCACATAACCCAAGTCTGTGTTGCCTGTAGTCTTAATGTGTCCCCCTTTCACCCTGTTCTCGGGAAGAAGAGACCATGGAGGCTCTTACAGCTGAATACGAGGAGGAGGTGGAAGATGAGGAGGAGAGTGCAGAGGCAGCAGAGTCCGAGGCAGCTCTTGATGAGCAGCAGTGGAGTGGGGAAGAGCCCGAGCTGGACAGCCCCCAAGCTGAGCCCTTAGAGCAGGCAGAGGCCATAGACGAGGCCCAGGATCTAGACCTGGAGCCGGCTGAGGCAGCTAGTGCTACTGCAGAGAGCTCTATGGACAGAGAGGAGGAGGAAGCAGAGGGTGAGGAGAGCCCGGAGACAGGTGTGTCCTGCCCTCTGCTCTCCCTGCCTGCATGTTCCTGCATTGCCCACTGTATAAGAACGCAAGATGTGTACAAAGGAAATGTATAACTTATAAGCATTATAATTCAAGTGGAATGGCAAGTAATCCTCCCTGCGCTCTGCTGCGGCTGCAAGGCAACACAGGCTTGTTGGTGAAAAAAAGCCACATTGTTTTAACTTAACCTGGTTTTATTGCGTATTTTTGCTTATATTTTCTTTTACTTGCTGTGGTTTTCGGGGCCGGCCGTTTTCGTAGTGGTATGATGAAGTGAAGTGATGCTAATCGTGACGGTTGCTGGTTTTATTTTTTCCACCTGCTATAAGCTTCCAGATTTTTCATTGTGTTTATACATTGCCTAGTGCTGGTATGCCAGTGCTGTGCGCAGTTTTGTAGCCATGATTCATTCCTGCAACACGTGCATAAATCATTGGTATCATGAATCTGAGTACAGAGTTTGCAGGGGATTTTGTGTTGGCTGTCTCATGTTCAGTGTGGTGCAGTTGTTGGTAAAACCATCTCATCAAATGCATTTCTGTATCAGCTTAATTCCTAATTATTTCTCTTTTTTGGGTTGTTTTTGTCACCTTTAGCTGGTGACAGCATATAGCATTTATCTGTCATTTACCAGTAAAGTTCTTCCATGATTGTGCTAATAAACTGACATCTGAACATTTAAACCCTAGATTTTTCAAAATAGTGAAAACTATTTAAATATTAAAAGCTTTAAACTTGACAAACTGACTAAACACTTCATTTTACTGAATGACAGAAATGTTATTTCACTTGGTATCTGATGGTTTTGAAGGTCAGCATGGATATTTCTCCCATCTGTTATTGCTTGTTTCCCATAAAGCAACATCACAGTTGCCTCATGCTGGTTTCCGTCACGCCACCATCCCATTTTATCATCCATCTGTGACTTGGTGGACCGCGTAATCTCGCCGTACTTCTTCATTGATGGCCGTACCATTGTGCTGTAAGTTTCTGAGGAGAGCTTTGCCTGTTTTTGTCATAGCTTTTCCAGACCCTGGCTTAATAGATATCTCATTCACAGCATGCTAAAACAATGCATTTCTGTAATGATCGAACAGCCAACTTACAGATATCCTTTCAGCTTTGAAGATGGAGACAGACAAGCAGGACAGTGGATCCATGAGCCCTGACAGCATTGGATCAGAGAAACGCCCAGAGGAGTTTTATGAGCCCCAGATCCAAGGGTTCTTTGCTGGTGAACGAGTTGTACCAGAGAGTCCCACCATGGATATGCCATCCTTTGTACCCCCAGATGTTCAAAGTCAAGCCAAGGAACCCGTCAGATCGCTCACACTTCAGCCTACATATGGTGAGCCGATTACAGTGTCAGAGAAGCAGCCATCAGTGGAGGTGGTAGAGTTCAGCAGCATCAGCTCTCCTGCTGATTTCACATCAGTGGGAGCCAAAGTTCAAGGAGGAGACTCAACAAGTGACACAAAAGACAGATCTGGGATGTCAGCCTATTTTGAAACATCAGCCATGGAGGTTAGTGAAGGTCCTCACAGTAAAGGTGAGGGTTATTACGAACTGAGTAGAGCTGGTGAAAAGCAGAGTACTGATGATACCAGTTCTCCTGAGATCAGCTACAGCACACTTGCTGAAGCTCAAGATAAACCTGAAGCTAAAAAAAGTACAACAGAAGACACTAGGGTATTTACAGTTCCTGACAGGAGTAATGACTGCAGGCTTTCCCCAGGTAAACTTGCCTTAGAGCAGAGGAGTTACTCACTTAATATCACCATAGGAGCAATGGATCAAAGTGGCCAAGGTAGACAAAGAAACTTCTCCCCACTGGCCACAGATATCATGTCATATACCAGTGGAAGCTTAGATGACTCAGCAGACTACCTTCCAGTTACCACACCATCTGCAGATAAGCCACCATCTTTCCCTCCACTCATACTTGAGACGGCAGCTTCCATTACTTCAGACTCCTCATCTCCTCCAAGGATCACAGAGCAGCCTCCAAAACCTAGTCCTGAACCGGAATCTCCAGAATCCCCCGAGCCTCCCAAGAATACATATAAAAATGGCACAGTAATGGCACAAGACTTGCCCGAAATGCTTGACCTTGCTGGTAACCGTTCGGGACTGCAATCAGAAAACAGTGACCCAGAAATCATTCGGAGGAAGTCGATTCAATCTGATTCTTCTGCCTTAAATTATGACCCACTGGCTAGCCTAATTTCAGGGGAACAGAGTCCTGGAGCTAGAAAGAGTGACAGCCAGCTGGAAGAGATGGGTTATTGTGTATTTAGTGAATATTCAGGGCCCATGCCGTCCCCTGCAGATGTGTTCAGCCCTACAGACACTTCTGCACAAGTCTTCACCCCGTCTGTCCTGGAGGAAAAGGTAGCTGAGCAGGCAAGAAAATTAGCAGTCAGAGATGTGTCTTTGGAGGATAAGACACAGCCATCAGGAGTTGCTGATGCAGCTGAAGAAAAAGACCAGAAAGAAGAAGAGAGAAAAGATTCAGCTGAAGAAAATAAAAAGAACAAAGAAGATGATCAGATGATTACCTCTGTAAGCGAGACACCACTTGCTCAGCCCTGTGAGCCTTTTGTGACACCAACTGTCACTGTGACACTGGAGGAAGGTGGGAGGTCAGTGAGCGAGACTGAGCGGCAAGCCAGCGGTGAAGGCTCAGCGTCAGAAACTGAGATTGCTGACTATGAGAGGCAGATCCGGAAACTGGAGATGGAGGACAGGCCTCTCAGTTTGGAGGAGGAGCGAGAGCTGCAGGAGCTTCGAGAGAAGGTGAAGCTGGTGCATCAGGAAGCCTATGAGGAAGTGGACGCTGAAGATGTGTACCAGCTGACTGGTGTGGCCAAGGACCGAATTGCCAGGCCTGTTAAAACTTCATCTGCCTCATCTGTGGAGAGCAACATCGATGATGACAAGCTGCTCTCCCCAGTGCTCTCACCCTCCAAACTTAAACAAAGAGAAATGTATGGCTCCCCGAAAAGATCAGCTTCACCTGTGTTGGGCATAAACAAAGATGAGAGAGAAGATCCAGAAAAGAAAATGAAGGCAGAGCAAGAGAAAGAAGCAGTCGAGAAGAAACTTAAAGAGGACGAAGAAAAGAAAATCAAGGAAGAGGCAGAAAAGAAAGAACAAGAAATGGAAGAGAGAGAAGAGCAGAAAAGGAGAGAGAAAGAAGAGGCAGAGAGGATATTGAAGGAAGAAACAGAAAGGAAGGAGAAGGAACAGAAAGAGCAGGAGATGAGGGAGAAATTGGAGAAAGAAGAGAGGGAGTTGAAAGAAAAGCAAGAGAAAGAGCAGAAAGAAAAAGAGGAGCGAGAGTTGAAAGAAAAACAAGAAAGAGAGCAGCGTGAGAGAGAGGAGAGGGAGTTGAAAGAAAAGCAAGAGAAAGAGAAGAAAGAAAGAGAGGAGAGGGAATTGAAAGAAAAGAAAGAGAAAGAAGAAAAGGAGTTGAAAGAAAAGCAAGAGAGAGAGGAGAGAGAAAAGAAGGAAAAGGAAGAAAGGGAGAGAAAAGAAAGAGAAGAGAGGGAAAAGATGGAACAAGAGGAGAGAGAAAGGAAAGAAAGGCTGGAAAAGGAAAGAATAGAGAAGGAGTTGAGAGAGAAGGAAGAGAAAGAAACAATAGAAAGGCAGCTGAAAGAAAAGGAAGAGCGTGAGAAGGAGGAAGAGATGAACACAAAAGTTGCAGACCAGCCTGAAGTGGATGCAAGACAAAAAGAAGCTGATGCAACAAAGCCTTCTGAGGTTGAGAAGATGAAGGACAAAGGCGACGTGACGAAGGAAATACCCGAGGCTCATGCTGCCATTGAGTCTGTGGTGACAGTTGAAGATGATTTCATTACTGTGGTCCAAACCATTGATGAAGCCGAAGAGCCGGGCCACAGCGTTCGTTTCTCTGCCCCACCTGAGGCCGAAGCAGTTTGCATTGCTGCCCAGAAAGAAGAAGAAGAGGAAGAAGAGTCTGTGGAGCTGGCTCAGGAAGCGGACATAGAGGCTGCCAGTTTAGAGGAAATGGGAGATGTTCCTGAAATTCCTGGCTCACCCGAGAGGGAGGCTCAGACCATAGAAACAGAAGGACCAACAGAAAGCTATGATAGAGATGAAACCACAATGGATGACTCCATTCTGGACAGCTCCTGGGTTGACACTCAAGGTGAGATCACCTTTTTTGGTTCTTCTTTTTATTCCCTCTTGTCAGCTTCAAATACACAAACTGAATAAAGTCTCATGCCCTATTTTTCCACACTGCAGATGACGATAAGAGTATGGTAACGGAGCACACTGAGCCTTTGCCCAAGATGTCTAGTCCGGTCAAAAAACCTGCTGTGGTCCAGAACAAACTGGCACAACAGTGGAAGACAGAGAAACAGGAAAAGCTTATTAAAGCCAAGACTAAGGGGGGGCGGCCTAAGGGACGAATCTCGACTCCAGAACGCAAACCTACCCGCAAAGAACCTGCCTACATCCCCAAAGAGGAACTCAAGAAGAAAAAAGGTTATTGTAATTTTATTTTTCGTCGTATGTAAAATAATGTCAATAACTGAAGCAATAATCATTGTTAAATAATGTTCAAGTCAGCTGCTCCTCAAACACAGCACTCTGTGCATCTGACTGTTTTGTATGCAGGCTTTCTTATTGAATAGATAGCTAATATTCAGTATGCATGAACCGTACACAGGCTTTCTGTGGTGTTTTCCGTATTATAACACGACTGTCTCTGTCTGTGGTTGCACTCCTCTGCTGTTGTCACTGGTCCTGTTTTCTCTGATAATGCAGCAGTGATAAAGAAGGCTGACCTGGCCAAAAAAATGGAGACTCGGACTCAATCCCCGTCCAAGAGGACTGCAGGGAAAGCAGCAGTTCGCCAGACCCGTCCTATCCAGCACCACTCCTGCCCCAGGAGAATAACCACAGGTGACACGTTGCCTCGGTCTGTCACACAGCTGGTGCTTGCTGCAGGACAGTCACCGCAACAGCATTCCCTGTCTCGCCTCCGCTTCATTTTTGTTTTATTGGTTGTTTCATGTTATTAGTTTTGTTAGTCATTTGTTTTCAAATGCATTTATTTTGTGTTTCATCATAATAAAGATTGACTTCCATTAATATTTTCTTTGGATTCATTTGTGTATTTTTTGCTTTTTTTGTATTTTTGTTTGTTCTCCGAGCTAACAAATACTGTCTCATTTGTGTTCTCTGTTTTAAGCATTTGTTTGTGCTTACACCTATGCTCATATATACATGTGTCTAAGAAGGCACAGCACACTTCCCTTAACTACAGTATTGTTAACTTAAATAATACTTTAATTCCTAACACGTTCATAAAGATGTTATTCTTTATGAATACATCTTTCCTTCATAAAATCTTTTTTTGCAGTTTGTATCTAGGTTCTCTGTCAGCTGCTGGTGTCCAGCTGACTTGTCACAATAATGAATCTTGTCAGTAAAGAAACTATAGACCTTCACAACCTCGATGGTCTTTTAAATTACATATCCAGTTTAGCCATTTCCAACTTGTGGTATCTTCTCCGTGGTGCTAAAAGCACTTTTCCACTCTGAGTACTGAAAGCACTTTTTACTACAAGCTACTTTAATATAGTCTATGCCTTGAAGCATTTTCTATTACACACACACTGTCACTACGATCAATGTATCGGGGGGGAATATGGAGGCCTCAGCATCTTGCCCAAGGACACGTCAATATGAAGACCAGAGGTACCAGAGATTGAACCACTGACCTTCCGGTTGGTAGACAGACTTTGCTAAGTGACAGCCACCCTTTAACGTATTACTAGGTTTGCTAATGCTGCTCTGACCCAGAGGCAGTTTGCTCTCCATGTTCCCCTGACGGACTGAATTCTGTGTCAGTGATGAGGAAAGCTCAGTATACTGCTGCAATGCCCCAATTAGATTTTTTTTTTTCCAAGGTTGCCTTACATAATACAAAATCCCCCATTCTGTGTGATATCTTGCCAAATCTTTGCAGAACAAAGCTGTCAAGAGAGAAACCTCCAGCTCCTATAGAACATTGAATTTGGCATATTGCTTACCATGCCACATTTAAGAATGCAAAGTTGGATGTCTGTAATTTTTACATTTTATGTAATGGGAACATATTCTTGCAAGGATATAAATATGGGGGTAATCCTCCAAAGTAGGGCATTTAGAGAGCCCTAACTCCTTCTCCTTCAATGTACGAAGGTTAACGCACAAATTCTTCTGAAGTATTTTTGTTTCCCTGAACTTCTCTGTCTGTCTGTCTCCGTCCCTCAGAGGTCCTACCTGACAGTCGTCAGCCTCTCAGCGTTGCCAGACAGTCTCGTGACAGAGCATCGGTAAGTATACTCAACAAACCTAACAATGGCACGACCTCTGGCACAAAAAACACTGAGAGAGATTCCAAGAAAACTCTGCTGGCAGTCAGCATGAATGAACAATTAAATTATAGGCATAGAGAAACTCAATGGATACTGAACACTAGAAACAGGCAGAACCTTTTTTTGGTGCAACATATTTGAAACTTTTGCTTTTTTGCTATTAATATGAAACCGCTAATACACATCTTGACTTCTGCAGGATCTGAAACAAAAAGCATCTCGGTAATTTTGAAAAAACAATTATCAGTAGAATCATTAAAATGATGTTATTTCCTAGGGTGACTTGCTGAGTTAAAAAAAAAAAAAATCTCAAAAGACATTAACACAATAACACATCACATCCAGATAACGCAAATGCTTTGTCCTTCCGTCTACACACTAACACGGGCAGGTGTTGCATTAGTTTTTTGTTCATATTTCATGAAGAAAATTATTAATGGTGGTTACATTTTGTAAAATGTTTCCTCTTCTTGGCATATTTTAATGGGTTTTTGCACAAGTAGTGAAGACAGACGCATTTGGAGTGTTTATTTTGCTGAGTGGGTGTTGAACCAACCTGTGACATTTCTCCAGTGCCTGTGGTCGTGACTCCATTTCACTCCTCCGCCATGGTAATGACAGTTATTGTGTCTAAAAGAACATGCTTTCTATATTTCCTAAATGTCATGTCATCACAGCATACTGAAAGTGTCTTCTAATACCATGCTCTGCAGTGTAGCCCGTTGCTGTTGCATGGGCATGATGAAGAGTATCCCTCACGTTCTTAAGTTTTGTTTATTTGTTTGATATTTTCATGTCCCATGAGTTTTCAGTTTCTTACTAAAATGAATGTGCAAGAGGAGCTGCTTTAATAGATTACATAGTAAATTGTTCCACATGATTCATGAGATCATGTGCATTCATGATGCATGTTGTAGCAGTGGTATTTTCACCACTTTTTGTCATCCTGTGTTCTTTATTTTGTTTTCATGCGCCTCACCAACCACGCCTCTTTGTTGTACCATCTCAGTGCCATGCCCATCATTTACCGTTTACAAAGATCCCCACCTTCATATCCAGAGCGGCTGCCTCGCTAGATAGACCTCGTCCATCCTCAGCAGAGCCTCAGGGCTCCACAGAATTACAGAAACAAATAGCTAAGGTAGGTGGATGGAAGAGTGACAGGGTTCCTGCACAAGTCCTGGAAATTTCATACATGTTTTCATGCAAACATGAATATTATTTGCTTTAATTTTGTAATATTGCTTGCATACGATATCTGTTGTTTCACATTTGAATTAAAAAGATAAACCTCAGTCTGCCTGACTGGCCTAACAATGCGCTCCCTGTATGCTTTCCAACAGGATGGTGGGTCACGGAGCCCAGAGAAGAGGTCTTCAGTGCCACGCCACACCTCATTTATGAGTCGCCGTGGGCCCCATGACCATGAAGAGAGCTCTACCTCTATCACTAGCTCTGGCTCTACGGCTCCTCGCAGGCCCACATGTAGGGTCCAGTTCCCCTAAACTGTACAAAGTATCAGCATTTAGTTTACGTTAGGTTGTCTAAAACGAAACTCTTGATAGCCTCCAGTGTGCGACAAATGCTACTAATTCAGTCTTTACTACTGTTGATCAATTTTAGAAAAATATTTCTAGAAAGTGAAAAGCACACTCATAAGGCCTTATGCTTGATTATTTTAAGAAGTCCCAGCTGACATCTGCTAATGAGTGATTTTTGCATACTCGCTCTATTTCTGTCTGTCTTCTGGCATCTTTAACATTTGTTTTTTTATATTAATACTTAATTTACTTTTATTACAAAGCCAAAATGTTATGTTGGACTATTAGCGTGCACTAAAACTCCTCTTTTTCTTCATTCTCCATCACTAAATCCAAAACTTTTGATTTTTCCCTTTCTCCAGCATTTCGCACTGAGATGAGGGCAGAACACAGGACAGGGCGAGCTCCTAGCATGACAGGTAATTACAGACTATTTCTACTATTTCTAGATATAAATTAAGAGCATTTTGTAATTTTGTGCTGTGGACTCAAAATATTTGGAATAAAAGGAATTGCAGTTTGTCTTCACCTCCACCTCCATCACCTGTATTTGTCATCTTACCAGTTACAGAATCAGCGCGCTCACGTTCAGCTCGCAGTGGCCACTCCACCCCACGCACCCCTGGCTCAACAGCCATCACCCCAGGAACTCCTCCCAGTTACTCATCATCTTCGAGGACCCCCGGGACCCCACGCTCCCTCAGTTTGATTTGTCAGGAGAGGAAGGTGGCTGTGGTCCGTACCCCACCCAAGTCACCTGCAACCACACCCAAGCAGCTCCGTATTATCAACCAGCCACTCCCTGACTTCAAGAATATCAAGTCTAAGATTGGCTCCACAGAGAATATCAAGTATCAGCCTAAAGGAGGACAGGTAACACTTTTACTTTGTCCAGAAATCTGCAGCTTTTTTTAACTGCTTGCTAATTTTCTTCCATCTTCACATTTGGTTTTACTGCTTATTGTAGTTTCCTTTTTTCCTATCTCTCCCTTCTGCACTGATCTCAGAGACAGAAGCTGCCATGTATTTTATTTTTGTTTCAGGAAGTTACATGTAATAGAAATAAAAAGTATATTAGGTATATACAGGTAGATTTACTGAGCATGCAAAGAAACTTAATGCTTGCCTCCTAGCAGATTTTACTCAGGATTTGACCTTTGAACCATAAAGCAACAACAAAACGTTCAATAGGAAGAAAAAAATTGAGTCAAATAACTGTTTCATATGGATCAGCAAGAAAAATCTGTACAATATATTTACAGACCACTGATCTGTGATGAGGTCTGCTTTACCATTCCTCGTATAAATAGTATTATAAGGTTTTGTCTAACAACTTCTGTCTTTTTCTTCTGCTTTAAGATGCTTATTTCCCATATGTTTCCTCCCGTCTCTAGGTCCCCGCTAAAAGTCCTGCTTTAGTCTTTTAGTTTCCCTTGCCTGCTGCTAGCTCGTGAATAATCTTGCCCGTCCATCATCGTAAAAAAAGAGTACAAAATATTACATAATGATGTTTTGTATAAGAAAAAAGGAAAATCACACGTAATTACACGTGTCCATTGGTTAAATTTACAATGTATTCAATGTAAAGTGTAGCGTGTTAAACTTTTCCTTTACCTGATAGACTATCCTAAAATGTATTTCAACTTATAATGTTGATTTTAATGATATATAAACCTATTGGACATATGATTTATCATCTAAACTATTTATATGGTGAATCAAGACCTACAGCAGCTTAGCAGTTCTTTACCACTTCTAGATATTTTCAGTTCCCAGTCTGATTTTGTGGCTGTCTTCCTCTGTTGTCTCTATGTGAAGCATTAGTTCAGATATCAGTTGCTGCTGTCAGTGAAAGTAAAAGTATGCTTGCGTTAATCAGATTGCAGAAAAATTTGTCTTCAAGAGCTGTAAATGTTGCTCTGTGTCTGATGGATGAAAGCAGTTTGATATATCTGTTGCCATCAACACAGTAGACCGAGGCTCTTTTTCTCTGAGTTTAATATAGACTAATATAGACTGCCACCTGATGGCAGGTTAAAAAGTCATTTTAACATTGTTGTGATTGATTGTGAGTTTATCCCAAAGATAAACACTGAGATAAAGGTCTAAAGAATGATTTCAAAATATGTATATATACATTTTTTTACAATTTTAAAGCAGTAAATGCTAGCTTATGTTATGTCAGCTTTATTTTTACCTGTGATTTCTCACCACCAAGCAGTTCTCCATCTAGAGATTTCAGTAAACAGAAAATGACATGACTATGACACCTGAGCGAGAGTCTGAACTCTGAGCAGTATTGTCCCGTAAGCGTTCCTCCTGGCTCTCTAAAGCAAAGACAGCAGTTCAGCAAAATCAGAATTACAAATCTTGTTTTCTGTTGCTGCACAGAATCTGCATTAGCACAGTGTCTCGGGGTACATTTCTTACATTTTGACAAATGTCTCGAGTCTGAAACACAAAGGCAGCACTGCACCAGGAAGCAATGTGTCTGTAGCCATCAGTTCCTACAAGCCTTTGCTGATGACCTGATTAGGAATCTAAGTGTTTGGCTGGCATCTTTATGACTTAGCAGGCCTCTGAGCTGCTCTGTGCAGTCAGCCATAAAATAGGGAGGGATCATGTTCCAAACACCAGCCTGTCATCTGCAGTAGAAACACGCTTGAGCTTCTCTGGGGGGGGGTTAGCATGTGTACAGCATTACTGTTTATGCTTTGTCAAAGTGTTCATAACTAGCTTCATCAGTGTTTGCAATGTAAATACTCAATTATACAGTCACATCACTCACTGTGGATGTGGAAGTGCTTGGCCAATATTTCAGTGTGGATTTTGCTCCACTGTGTGTTAGTTTGCTTGTGTGTGATTTTGAATACGTCATGCTTTTGTGTATTTCTTATCTGTAACACAGATAGCAGATGCATTGACTAGGGGGTTATCTCCCTGTTAGATAGACGCGGCTATTTATCAAATGCATCTATTGAATTTGCACAGATATCTGATCCTTAATGGGAATTATTCTGGTTATTGTGTGGTTGTTCCTTCTGATTACAGGTGTTTGTTTCACACATGAGCATGCTGTCTTCAGACAAAGTCTTTTGTTTTTGGAATCAGCATAGATTAATGCAGTGCGTTATTCGTCTTCAGTGGTAGTTTGATAAGTTGTTGAGGTTCAGAAGTCTATGTTTATGCCCATAAATGAAACTGAATATAATGACTGATATCAGTACTGATATTTGGTGATTTAAAAAGCTAATATAAATATGTTCTTTAATATTTCTTTTAGCCACACAAAACATTTGTTTTGTGTAGTTATTTGTCATTGTTTTATTATCACAGCAAATCATGGATTACTCAACGCTCAGCTCGACTCTGATCAGATCAGCTGGATCTTGAAGTTGCAGAGTGCGCACTGGTGGACCATCAACACCCATAACATTGTTAAAGGATATTTCTCCTGTCTCATCTCTATTTTTTAAAATGTTAATTTATCAGCAGTTATAAAGAGTGATACTTTTTATAATTTCGGGCTATATGTCGGGCCTACTGACACATTGGTCAAATTGTATTAATCTTCACATTTTAGTTTAGATTTAAAAGACACCTTGATGCATATTAATAGAAGCATTTATAATTATACAATTACAAATCTATCCATCCATTTATTTTCTTACCTGCTTACCTGCCTTGGCTGCTATATAGTGAGAAGCTTGGCAAAGAATTATCATATATAATGATCTTTAACACTTGCATTAATGCTCCTGTTAATGTCTCCAAGGTTCTTTTAACAAAAGCAAATAACTTGAGAATATCATTGAGTGTTAATTATAAGAGAAAAATGGAAATACAAATAGAAAACTTTAGGACATTTGAATGAAACAGATGATTGATTAAAGTATTTGTTTAACTGGAGCCTTTATTGCAGTACAGTGTTATAAACATTCATTGTTGAAATGGTCCTCTAGTGTCACTATTGTACCACTGAAGTAGTAAAAAATTATAGATAGCGCATAATTTTACCTCTTTTTTTAAAACTTAATGAAAATTAAAAAGCCAAACTAGTGTGACAGCATTTATATTGTTGCAAATATTTATAGACAGTAGTCACATGACATGATGGAAGTGTACTCCTCACCTTAATATTCACAGCACCCTCAAAGATCCAAATAGTGTTACTATAAGCAGCTCCTGTAGTGAGCCTCCCCCAGCCCACAGCAATATAGCAAGCCTATACTCAGCTACTGACCTGTCTAATGACTGTCCTCATAGAAACAGAAGGACCCAGATGGGCCAACAGAGGCCAAACGCAGGGCCTCTTTGATCTGGAAGTCAGTGCTGCGCCTCATCTCTGTTACTCTGTGTCTGTCTGCGGTACACAGCGTGACCTGGACGCAGGACCTGCTGGTATACCTTATCACTTTTAATTATAGCACTTTGAATAAAAAGTCTGGAAACCTTTGTCCCAGTGGAATAATTAAAAAGAAAGCATTTACTATGTGTAATTTTACTCATTAATATCTTGAAAAGGTAATTTGATTGATTAAATTTAAATTCAAATGAGCCATTAATATTAACAATACAAAAAACTATTTTAGAGCCAATTAATTATTACGTGGCCACTGCCTTTTGTCTTTTGATTGATTATTGAATTTTAAAGTGCTGAAGAAAGTCCATCGCACAGAGCAGCAGCAGAACGTGTTTGCGTAGCTGCTTTACAAAGGATCGAACCAGTCACATCAAAAAATCAAAAGGCAGTGTTTTTCTTCTTTTTTTTTCTTAATATTTTAGTAATCATCATGTTGAAATTGTACAGTACTGAGGAAAAGTTTTAAGCCACCCCTCATTTGGGAAATATGTACAATGATTTACTGAAATGTGTGCAAACATCTAGTATAAAAAACAAAAACTGAGTTTGTACAATTCTAAGTCAACATTTGGTATGCCCACCTTTATTCTTCAACACAGCCTAAACTCTAAGGCAACCTTTCTTTCAGTAGTGTTCAGGAATAGTTCTCCAGGCTTCTTGAAGAACAGTCAAAGCTCCTCTTTTGATGTTGGCTGCCTTTTGCTCTAATCTCTGTCAAGATGATCCTACATTGCTTCAATAAAGTTGAGGTCTGGACTCTGGGGAGCCCAATCCCTGATTGATTGGGTTTCATTGTGTGTTTTTCTATTTGGTTATGCTTTTATTGCATTGGCATTGTGTTTGGGATCGTTTTCATTTTGGATAAGGAAGCCATTGCCAATCAAATGCTTTCCAGATGCTATGGCATTGTGGATCAAAATGCTAAGATACTTTTCTGTTCATAATACACAAGAACCGACAACCAGCTAAATAAGAAATAAGAAAAAATTTAGCCTCAAACAAAGATGGAGCCTCTAAGAAGTTTTACAGATGGCTATAGAAACTCACTGTTGTACCTACTGACTATTTTAACCAGTAGATTCATCGTGTTCATCATGTTCTTCCTTATGAATGGCATCTTGGCAACAAACCTTTGATAGAGACCAATTCTGATGAGTAATCAGTAAACAGTAGATGGATCAACTGAAAGATCAAATGAATCTCTCGGGTCATGTGTCAGGTCTTTGGTGGAATTTTGACTTTCCGATACTGTTCATGTGTTCAAATAGTCTTCTTCTTGTGCAGTTTCCTCAAACCTTTTAAGAACACACTACACACCATGCTGAGATGTGTTTTTGTGACAGCCTGCTAGTAACAAAGAGCCTAAAGAGACAATTTAATTCATGTATTTATTTATCAGTTCATTTATGTATTTATTCTTTGAAAAGTTGTCTGTTATTTGTTGATAATACCTGGGTCCATCTCTTGCGTGAGGTGCCTTATTTATGCTGAAATTATTCATTAACACTATGAAAGATCTCTGGAAAGCCTGGTGAACTATTGCGCAGGACCATTAAACATTACAAGAAAGTCTGGCTTCAAAGTGAAAGAAAATGTGAAGAAATGTGGGTTGGCTTGAGACTTTTCATAAAGAGAAGTCAAACAAATACTCTGGTTGGCAGACTGATGACTCATGGGAAGAAAATTGAAAAACTCTATTTGTTTCAACATGAATGCAAGAGGTACAGAAAACAGTTAAAGAAAACACAAACTTGTGATTTCTCATTCTTTAAAGCATTAATCATGCTCCAAAACAATAGAAATGTGTGCACTGACACTTTTTCAGTATGCTGATCATCAGTATCCTGTAGTCCCTAGAGTATTAGACAGTGCGATCAAGCATACGAAGATAATACACAGTCATTCCTATCTACCATTTAAGAGGTCCATATATCTCTGCATGTTTCCATAGATTCATATTTTAAACAAGAGGCAGGACTTCACCCCATCACTGTCAAAGTGCAGCTCCAAGGATAATCTGAAGCACTCTCCTCGTGGAGCCAATGTATGTACCCTTCAAGCTTTGCCTTCCTCATTAAGAGGATGGGTGAATGCCTTATATAATTCTAGTTAGTCCAATTCCCAATAAATATTTTGATTCATATCTCTTTAGGTAGTGTACAACATGTTGCTTCTTGTTGTGTTGTGCAGTATATGGGTAGGTTAATAGTATCAAAGTGAGCTATTTTGTATTTTACCCCCCTTTTCACTGTAGTTTGGCTCTCGGTTTTTAATTTTAGATACAGTTGTCTCTTTTCAACTATAGTTCAAGGGGTGACAAATGTCACTTGTATTATAGGTTATATATTACTGGCATTATGAACGACCAACAACAACATAGCAAGGAGGATGCATGCTTCTGACTTTTTTCTAATATTTAGCCGACTGTCTAGCACAAAAATGACCTGATGGTTAAGAGAAAGATCCACTCAGTTGACCATAGCCTTAGCTAAAATGCTAAAGTATACTTGAACATGCAGTCCTGTTGGATCCATATGAATACTGTAGCCTAACTTTTCTTTAGCACTTTACCCCAAAAAACCCCCGTCATGTATCTGTGATTAGTTTGACATTTAATCCTGCACTATTGTGTGTATTAGGTCCAGTCCTACATTTCGTGTAGAATAATACGAATAATAGTGAGTCGACAATAGATTAAATGTGTTTTTCCTTCCCCAGAAATCTCCCACTAGTTGAGTTCTCTTTTTCTTTCCATCCTCTTCTTCTATTTTTTCCCCTTTTTCCTCCATTTATTTCCTTCTGAGGGTACATAAAATTGTTTCCTCACTTTAGTTTATCCCACAATTCTAGGTCACATGAGATATAATAGGTCACATGCTATGCTATAGTGATGGTGCTTTGTGGCAAGACGAGGTTTGCATATCTTGTGGATATTCTGTGGTGTTACAAGCATGAATAATCTGCTCTCATTATTCATTTAGTTTGATACCTTGTGTTTAGGTTGCATTAAGAAGAAAGACAAAAATAATTCCTCTTTTAAAGAAGGGGAATACATTCTCTGTTATATTTAGCTATTAAAAATTTATTGATAGTGTAACATTTTACTGGCAGTGGGTGGAAAGTTATGGTTCGATGTCCATTTATAGGTCACGGGAGCTGTTTAATGAGACCACTTGTGCATACCCGATGTTTGAAGGGAGGTAACAGCAGAAAACCTTGTGCTAATTGAGAACTGAATGAAAACACTTCCTCTTTGTCTATGTCTGTTGCATATTAAAGAAATTCTCAATATAGCATAAGAAAGGACGTCTGATCCCCCACAAATGAGATATTCTTTATATGTTCTCTATTGCCTCTGGTTGTCTTGAGCCCATCGGCACATAAGCATTGTTCCAGCAGTGTTTTGAACCGAGACTGATTGTCTTCCATATTCTTTGAACAGATGTCCACATATTTGAAAGCACTCCTTGTGTTTCATTAAGCGGTGAAGGAAAAGGAAAACAGTTCAGAGGCCACATACCCGAAAGTCTCCGTTGTCCTCATCTTTTCTAATTCACAAAATGTGTAAGAAGTGTATGCACTGTCATTTCTTTATCTGGTGTAAACCCCCATTGCTTTTGCTGTGCTGTCGTGTAAAAATGAAAGCTATTTATTCGTTGTTTCAGTACTGTTCCAACTCTGCTTTGTCTGCATCTCACTCCTGCTTTTTCTCCTTGCAGCTACAGAGAGTCAGCACACATCACAGCACACTCACATGTTCATCATCCTCAATCCCTAAAGTAGTGGCCTCAAATCAAAGAACTTTCAATTGTGTTTTTAGCTTCTAAAGGTTCATCAGTTGTTGCATTTTGGTACATAACCAAGGCTCACAGACTGTCACAGCTCACGCCATGAGTCAGATCAAATTGTCTTTTCCTCTGAGCTTAAAGTGATCGTATCAGTTGAATGATGTTTGTCCTGGGCAACAGGGAAACTACTAGTCCAATTGTACCGCCAAACACAGTCAGACATCTATTTAAACAGTGGGAGTATACAAACTGTTTAAAAGACTTAAGCCCAAGCGTTTTCCCACCTCATTCCTCGCCTCCACCCTGCAGGTTTTCATCCCCAGTGTTAAACTGGACTATAGCCATGTTCAGTCTAGGTGTGGGTCCTTGGACAGGCGTGGCTACTCGGCAGGAGGTGGAAACGTGAGTCTTGTGCTGCAAGCCCATTGTGTCAGTGTTGTTGTCGGTATTATTTATGTGCCGTGCTGTGCTGTGTTTCCTCTGTTTCCTCTGTGTTTTCCTGTATTTTTATTTTGCCTTACTGTTTCTCAGTTTAATAGTTAAGTCACTCATTCATTTGCAGTGCTCTTACTAGACTGCTCTTCATCTTTGCATTATTCTCCACCAGTGGTTTGTGTCCTGCAAGTAATGATACCAAGGGCTGAATGTGTCTGCCTCCAGAACCTGACATTTGGCTAGTCTGCTGACTTAGCTTCTAAGGGCACTAGCTAATATTAGGATGTAGCCAAGTTATCAGGAGATTAGAAAAAATATATCCTTTTCAAAATGCGGGCATGTTAAAAAAAGCTAAGTCTTCGTCAGATGATAGCCAGTGGTTTCAGTATTGCATTTTACCAAATGCAATGTCTTTATGATCCCCATCTTGACTTTGTAACTGCATGCAGACACAGCCTGCTTGGACTACAAGTTCAAAAACAAAACAAAACAAATAAACCCAGAAAGCTTCTGGTACCAAAAGCTCCTTCCTGCTTGTACATATTCATGTTTGTTACACTTTTATGCTTAATGCTTTTCTAATCCTTTATTGTATTTTGTACTGGACAGAGAAGCTCATCAAATCTTAATGAATTTTTCTTTATGTACGATGAAAATAAAGTTAATAAAGGCTTTCTTCTTCATATGCAGAAACACACAGAAGAGAAAGTAGACTTAGTGCTTAACAAAATTAGCCCACTCATTGCTAGCAAAACTCTTGCCAGCATCTCTCATCCACAACAGGTAGCACGCTGCATGAAGCACTTGATTAAGACTGATTACAGCCATCTGAAGGCAGCAGGTATAGTGTGCGCTCCATCTGCAGTTTCTGATTTGAATAATGCACATTAACAATGCACAGTTATGCAAGCTTAATAACAATGAGACAGTTAAAACTTATCTCTTGACTTTATATCACTTCCCTCAGAATGATCTGTTCCCATAAAACCTCTTTTTATTTGATTCTTGCTACAGCAGCTGAAAAAGTAGTGCCAGGAACATTTATAAGGTCAGTGCTTTTGGCACAGCAGATATTATCTGTTCAGGTGACTGTAGTGATTAAATTCATCTGTTGTGTAACAAGAAACAGCTATTATTCTGTGCCCAGTTTTACAATAGCGGCCTCAAAGTAGTGAAATCAGAGTTGGCATTGTGTGTATTATTCCTGTATTCTTACATGTTACTTGTAATCGCTCGTCTTTAATTATCTGCAGAAAACCGACGTCAACCTAAAGAGACACGTGGTAGCACATTTGCTCATATATTGCAGCATCTTAGTTTTGAGAGTCTCAAATAGAGTGTTAGTACACATCAAGTGAAGAATAGCGCAAAGGCCGCTCAACTGACAGTTCCTGCAGATTTTTAGGACAAGCCCAGCACAAGTTAAGGTCGCTCAGGAGAGCGAAGGTGGAGAGCGGTGGTTGGCTGAGTTGCTGAACGTAAGGACATTAAATTGCAGATTAACATTTGCAATCAAACATTACTAAAAGTTGTTGCATATAACTGTGCATAATTTCATGAGAAGTGCTCTTTACTCTTCCCTCTGTTGCAAATTATTATATTTGGAGATTACATCAGCTCCCGTCAGTGTATAAAAGAGCCAGTTCGTATTGCCTCTGATAAATTAGACTTTAAAAAAACTCACTAGAAAACTGAGGCAAAGGTTTGAAAAAATTAAAGCCATAATTAACTATTAGTCAAAACATCTTTATTACATTTGATATAAATAAAGAAAACAATGTCATTTCTCCAAATTAAGCATGCAAACACTCAATTATTGCAGTTCTCTTTTGAGAAACAATTAAAAATGGATATCGTACTACTCTGCTAATGTGTAAAATCTACACCAATCATCGGCAACATTAAACCCACTGATTGCTTTAATAAAAAAAAAACATGTATCACAGTGTTATTACGAAAAGTGTTATAATTGTTTAGTAATCTTATTATGAAAAATGTGCAATTAATGAAGGTTCTTACTGTTAAAGACTTTGGATCCTTGTGTTCATCAATGATACTTTTACATGTATAACCTACATAAAAAGGCATACTAGCCTTTTTCAGTGGCAGCAGCCTTTCCCAGCAGACCAATGTGCTCCACCAGGCCACAAAAACTCTTCAGCAATGACTTTAAGAGACCAAAAGTCCAAGGTGACGACCCTGGCTCCAAGATCCCTAATGATGATCTGCAGCACACAGAAGAAACTTGATCCACAGAGACTCCAGCACACCAAAGAACCCTAAAGGTCCCACTACCATCATCATACAGGGCCTCCATAAGCCCCAATGGGTCCAAGGTGCTTTGTACAAAGACCTTCAGAAAGATGGTTTTTAATGTTGTGTGTGATTGGTGTTTTCACTTCTTAGTAGAACTGATAAATTAAGCAATCAAACCAGATACATGCATTTTTCTTCAGATGCACTTATGTTCAGTTATATGAATAGGCCAAGAATTTGCATTTGCAAAAGGTACTGTGTTATGTAAGAAATCAACACATACCATACAAATGAAAAACATCAACAGTGGGGTTAACAGATGCCTAAGTGACATGACTACAGGAGCGATGTGCCAAACAGTAGCCTGATGTTCACCCACGCTGACACAAAGCACTTATAATCTCTTCTCTTTAAAACTCATATGGTATACTTTTGTTAGTCTTTTGCATGTGTAAAAGACTTGGTGTTCTTTGTCAGTCCACAGCTTCACAAAACAATAAGGCCACAACAAGGTATATTGTAGGTAAAGGCTGCATACAGTATTGTGTGCTTGTGGTGTGGGGTTTTTTTTTATGTGACTTTCAATGTGTCATCTCACTTTTTCTGTCATTTTGTGTCTCGGGCCTTGTATATAGGGTTGAAATTACGGGACACAAAATCACTGGTTACAAAAGACATTTGTACTAAATAAGCGACATGGCAAAGGTTGCTGACCACAGGCGTGTCTGTGTGATTCATCTCAGGATGTGGTGTATCTGTCCTTGTTCATCGTGCTGTGTTTAAAGCTTTATGTTTGCTGTCTCATCAGTTCACTCCTTACACATTTCTCTGCGGGTTGCTCTTCAGACCTCCTCGGTGTGTCCCTGCCCTCTCTTTGCCTTACACTTCTCACTATTATGTGTATCTGTTCAGTTTTATAAATGGGACAAATTATTTTCAAGACATACTTACAGCTTGAAAACAGGTTGCTTCAGTTACAGGTACAATCTAGATCAGATGTATTCCTCTTGATAAATCAGGGGGGGGACCTGATGATCTTGCCTTGAACTGTGGGCTCTAAACTTGCCTTTTCCTGACTGTGTTCCTTCCAGGTACAAATACAGAACAAGAAGATTGACTTGAGCCATGTGACCTCCAAGTGTGGCTCTCTAGACAACATCCATCATCGGCCAGGTAAAGGTTTGCAGTTCCCCTACAAAGAGGGCAACACTGCACTGCAGTGAGTGTGCTGTGACCAGAAGGTTGCTGCTGCAGTCCCTTACTTTAAAATATGAATTTTATATGTGGGATGTCCAGGAGGCCGTCGAACTGCTTAGATACACTTGAGCAATTTATCTAAATTTCATGAGCTTTTGAGTTCAGACTGTGGTTATACTGGAAAGCCTCAAGGTATGACTGCATGTGAAGCTAAAAATGTGAGTAGATAAGATGAACTGCATGCTCCCATTTTTTCTTTTAGTGACATAAGGAAGTGCATAGTAGACAAGCCAGACAGGTAAACAGTGTTGAGTTCAACATTCATCACCCAACTCCGTTTGATGCTGCTGGCTTACAATGCCAGGTAAACTCCTGTGCGCTTCCACCTGGTCTTATCATTACACGATAATACCAAGGGACACAGATTAGACGTTCTAAGACCTGTTTTCTTGTATTTGTTAGACAAAGAATTTCCTGCCCTATTTGAATGTATGTATTCATTTGGCAGTTTTTTTATTAACTCCTGAAATAACATGTCAATCAGATGCAGCTCCTGGACCAGTCTGTATCTAAATTTGCAACAACAGTGGAAGCAAGCAGTAAACTGACAGCCTGATAGATGTGTCCGCAGGTGGCCGCATGTAGGAGGTGTTTTGGTTCCTGGCAGCATTTTCTGAAATTTGTCTTTATACCTTGAGTGTTAGAGTGTGGGATATGATGTTAATAAATTGGGTTACATCAAACCTGGAGAGGGTTTTACATTCAATTTAATGTTTGTTCATCCAAATTTCTGAAATGCAAAGTAATAAATTGCCTTCACAGTAATCCCTTAACATTCCTAAGTCCATAGGACTTGCACTAAAAGAGAACTTGCATATTGGTTATAGGGGTTGCTGTTGGTAAGTTTGAAAATTTCTTTTCCATTAATACAACAAAATAAATTCTCTGATGCTGTAGGGCAGTGTGATGCTCTGTGACAGTCATATTAAAAGCTCTACAATTAAAATATAAATCATAATTATTAGGTGCCATAAAAGTGGTTTTATGTTTTTTATTCTTCCGGATAACTGCACAGAACTTGTGCTTATATTTATCTGAATTGGCCTTTTAAATCCTTTTCTGAATTTCCAGCTTAATTTACAGAACTGGAAAGATTTAGTTGCACTACCAGTACTTTGGCAGCAAAGCCCCCTGCAGAAATATGGAATCCCCTTTTTATTTACCCATAGAGAGTATTGGACTGTCCTGCAGCGCCACCTGCTGTTCATTCTGCCATGTTTATTACAGTCTTTCATCTATTCCTAAACTCTCATTGAGAAGCTACTGGGGTTTCATACTTTAACTCTGCACAATTTTTAACCTCACTCTCTCATCTGACCTTTAATAACTTCTTAATAAGGTGGGTGTGTCTTGAGTAGATATTAGGTGGATATTTGGTGACTAAGTATTCGCATTTTTTTTCACTTGATGCTGTTTCAATTTCAAAATTGAAATAAATACTTACAATTAATATAGCGCTCTTCTCACTTAATAGTTTTTACACTTCTTCTGCTTTTAAACAGGAGGTGGTAATGTGCGTATCGAGAGTGTGAAGTTGGACTTCAAAGACAAAGCCCAAGCAAAGGTGGGTTCCCTGGAAAATGCTCACCACATTCCTGGTGGAGGCCACGTCACGGTGAGTGTCAGCTCCATGCTTCTAATCAGCCATTTAAGGGAAAACATCAAGTTATTGAGAGATTGTCCTACTCATCAATTTAAATATAAGCCCTCATAAGTAATAGCCTTTACTCTCCCTTTACTCAATATTCACCCAAATCTCAGGCTGTGCAGTAGTCAGAGAAATTGCAAAAAAAAAAGCCCAAGGCCTACATCTCAGACTCAGTGTTCATGACAGTACAATTAGAAAAAGATTGCACAGATACGTCTTGTCTGGAAGGTTGTCAGGAGAAAGCTTTTCTCTACAAAGAACATAGCAACCAAGCTCAGGTTGCATCTAAACCTGCAAGACTTCTAGAGCAGTGTGCTTCAATCAGACATCATTTAGATGTTTAACTGTAATATACACTGTTCCATGTAGTCAAAACCAAAGCACAGCATATCAGCACAAGCACCTTATATCAATTGTCAAGCATGGTGGTGTGATGATTTGGGTTTGTTTTTGCCACAGGACTTGGGCACCTTGCACTCAGTCGGTCGACCGTGAACTCCTCAGTATAAGTACTCTATGTGAGGCCATCTGTCTGACAGTTAAAGCTTGGCTGAAACTGGGTAATGCAACTAGACAACTATCTTGTTGCATTGCAAACCAGAAAAAAGGTTTTCCAGGACTCTGCAGTCATGTGAAAAACTAAGAACAAGCAAACCAGAAAATTGGTAATAGAATTTCTGAGAAAACCACAATGAACTGATGCAACGTAAAGAAGAGTACGTCGTGTAGAAAATTATTACTTAAGATTATTACTGCTCAAGGTGGTTCTAGAAGATATTAAACCATGGGTTGTACTTGGTTTTTCACATGACTGAAGAGTCCTGGAAAACTTTTCTGTAGTAGCAATAACTTGAAATAATCATTTTCTGTATGACCATCAGTCTCTCACGTCATTGTGTGTGTGCATCTTAACTATTTGTTTCCATAGTTCTGTACTCAATTAAGTTTAAATCTTACAAAACAGTGTTTCCACCAGGCCAATCTTCCAAAAACTTGCTGTATTCCTTTAGCAGTAAAGGTACAGTATATACATCAGTCCATACATGACTGCTCTTAATAAGTGATCAGTAATCCTCTGGAGGCATGGGAGTTTTTCCACTTGTTCTAAAGCCGTTTCTAAAATGAATCAATATTTCATATGACGTCTGATAGTAATATTTGTTTTTCCCTATTCGCTTCTCACATCACACCATCTGCCTTTAACAGATTGAAAGCCACAGGTTGACATTTCGGGACAATGCCAAGGCCCGAGTAGATCATGGAGCCGAGATCATCATCCAGTCACCAGGTCTCTCTGGCTCAGTGTCTCCCCACCGCATCCGCGAAAGCCATCTATCATCCTCCGGGAGTCTCAACATGATGGATTCCCCACAGTTAGCAACCTTGGCGGAGGATGTCACTGCAGCTCTGGCCAAGCAGGGTTTGTGAACACTGGATCTCTGGATCGCTGCTCTGCACCCAAGACGTTCTCATCCTGATCCATTCAAACTTTTCCGCCCTCTCCTGCCACCCTAAAGCTGACTGATCACCGCTACTACTCAGCTAAACCGGTTCTAAGTAGAGACTCAAAGTAGGAGCTACTGTACTTTGGTCCTATTTATTCTGTTTTCTGTCTATTTTAAACCCAAACGTCCTATTTCTGATTGATTTTGATCTCCCTCGTTTTGAATGATGTTGCAAAGAAAAGTTTGCTGTAACCTCTAAATAGTGGGGACAAAAGATTGGCTTTACTGGTCTTGGATCAGTGTTGAAGAAGCAACAGCCTTTTTTCTACTTTGAATAAGAAATAACGCCACGACCACCACACCGCACGTATTGCTCTTGTTCAGTAAACGTGCATGGACACCCTATCAAAACACGCATCCTTACTGCAAGTCATTCTTGTCATCCAATATATAATATATTTATCAAATATATATAGAAACATGTATAAAATAAAGGTTCTTTGCCATCTACATGTCCTGAAAACATTTTAAAAGGAAGTGACAAAAATGGCTTGAAAATCTGTAAAATTGCATTTATGCAAGCAACTAGGTCATGTTACCACGAGCATGTATGGATTCAAGTCTTAAAAGAGGCTATTTTGTAATTTAAAATAAGGATTTTAGTAAGTTATTTCCTCATTTATTGGATAAAAATTAAACAAGTTCATGTTTTGTAGTTAATAGTTGTTTACAGTGTAATGCTTGGTGACAATGTCAGACAGCTGATTTGGTGTTGCTAAAGAATGCATCTCAGTCATGTCAAAGTGCATCACACACTTGCACCTGCTCAGCGGTTCAACGCAGAAGCCTGTCCATACATCACAGCAGTATTAAACACTGGCACTCATTCGACAAACATCCTCAAAAGGAAAGTCTGTTCAGACGCAGCTCACAAGAATAAACAGCACTGACATTTCTCCAGTATTACAGGCTGACATTGCCCTCATCGGGACTGCCGGAACCACAGAGGAGATGCTACAATTTGCGACCTGATATTTAGCAGAAGATGCAGCTACTCTGAAATCTGTCTGTGCGTGTGCTTTTTGGTGCAGGTCCCCTGCTGTTTTACAGCGGACGCTACCGTATCTGGATGTTTTGTTGCAATATGCGGGAGAATAAATTGGACAAAAATATTTTGAAAAATCCTAAAAGTTAAAAAGACTCAGTCAACTCCTGTTATGTCTGTTAGGAAAAAAAAAAGTGTTTGGGTGATCTAGTTTCTTTTTCAGACACCATTTGTGGTATGCCCTGCCCTCCTGCCCACTACTTACTGCCCTCACCTGCAACTGTTTGTTTGCTTCCGTGTTTTTTCTGCATTCCCCATCTCTGTGTGCCCCTTCCCCACCTCCTACTCCAACCTACAGCAACTGTAAATGTATTTAAAAGGTCAAGTAGATGTACGCAGTTTTTCTCTTGTTGATATGACACCAGTTACAATAATTAATGACAATAAAACGACCAAAAAATGGGAAAAAAAGTGACGTACTTGTTTTGTTTTCCGCTAACCAGAAAAAGCACCGCGTATATAACTTCAAAATGTCAAACCACTTCCTTTTGAAAACATCTGGCTTAAAATAAATGTCCAAATATCAGCGTACAACATACGGAGTCAAAAAGAGGGAAATTAAATGGGAGTGTGAAAAGTTTATTGTGAAATGGCAGAGGATACAATAAGTTAAGACTTAGGGAGGGTTAGATTGGAAGAGGATTGAATTCATTTTGATGGCCAGTCCTGGGCCAAACGAGTCACTTTACTGGCAGATAGAGAGCCAGACAGGCAGTAAGTGGGGAGGGATGGTCATCGTTATTCCGCCTTCCCATCCATCACTGTTCCTCTGTGACGAATATAAACCCCAATGACACTGCGGGATTTTGGTGAAGATAACGAAAGAAGCACCTCATGAGTAATCAGGATAGCTTTCCAAGTGACAGGAGGAGGAAGAGAGGAAAATAAAAAGCACCAGTTTGGACAAAAGAGGAAAAAGAAAGTGTTGAAAAAATAAAACAAGGATTCAGGAAATGATATCTCATAGTCCTTTGATCCCCCTGCTTCCACAGATGGTACAGGAAGCAGCGAGCGAATGCAGCGACACCATGGGGTCTGCACATGTACGATGCTCACCACCACGGTGGCAGGGTCCTTACACAGACATGATGTGCTTGACGAAGGCTGCGGGTGAAGGCCGGGGCGGGAGATGGAAAAAAAAAAAACAAGAAAGGAAGAGAGGGAAAACTGAGTGAACTGGAAGAAAAATACATTCTCAAACTTCCATGAAATAAACACATGTTTAATTGACTAAATGTGAAGACTGACACTGCAGTTTCTCTGTTAACACCCTCATCATTCATTACATTTTCTTTGCTGATAAAAAGCACTTTGTTCTTTGCTGTTTACATTTTATGAGAAAATCACAAAGTAAGAAACTATCTCTGCTGTGGTTGTTTCTAAGATATTGTTTTCTGTGATTCACAGCATTTAAAGTATGAGAGTTTGTACTGTCTATAATAGCTTCATCTATTAAGCTACACTTTTTTGTCTAGAGGACAGATGACACTAGAAAAGCTTTGACAGTCACTTCTTTAAGACTATAAGAGAGACTTACACGAGGCTAAGATACTGTGTGTTAACTCTAAAAAGTCTGGATTCAACACTTCTATTAATATCAAAGAAAAGCAATGACATCATCAGGGATGTGAAGCTCCAACACAGAAGGAGTCAAATAGTTCTCACAGGTTAGATTAAGCAAAACTTGTAAAGTAATTCTCACATAAGATAAAACAATCTATAATAATAGAATTAATAATTATTTTGAACAGTGTGAATACTATCAGCAGCAGTAATAGTATCATCATGTTTTTATGTAGCTGTTGTTGGACTGTGTGGCTCACCCTCATAGTTGACACAGCCGTTCTCATCCTCTTGTCCTGCCATGAGAGCGTCAATCTCAGCCTCTGTCATCTTCTCTCCTGCAGGGGGAGGCAGAGGACATCTGATATTAACAACACACAAAGTGACTCGGGCACGCACCTGAACAGATCGAAGGAAACGCATCCTAGGCTGACTCACCGAGTGTTGACAGGACAATACGCAGCTCAGCACCCATCACTGTGCCGTTGCCCTCCTTGTCGAAGACGCGCAGACCCTCAACATAGTCTTCAAATCCTGCCTTGTTTGGGCTGTTGATGATGGCCTGGAGCATGGGCAGGAAGCCCTCAAACTCTACTCTCTTGCTGGCCATGTCTGCATGAAAGGAGGTAGAGTAAGTTGGATCTAGAGGTGACACTAAAGGGAGGCTCAGAGTTCTAGAGCTTCAGCAGGTTCACGATTGAGCACAGCGCAGTCCTATTTTAAGGCACATTTATTACTTTGTTTATTTATTTATTAGGTCATTTGTCATTTTGATCTTGATTGCAGTCTTGAGTTTGCACAAATCTGCACCTACACCATCATCTGTCTTCTTTCAGTTGCTCCCTTATTTAAAGGGGCTGCCATGGCAGATTCACATATTGGATTTAGCATAGGTTTTTATACCACATGCCCTTCAAGGGATTTGTGTCTCCTCCTGGTCTTGAACCAGGGATCTTTCTCATCTTAGGCAAATATGTTAACCACTATAATAATATAGTTCTTCTGTTAGTTTAGAAGACAAAGTGTGTGTAATTAAAAACAAACAAAAAAGTTTTAGATCAGGCTACGTTTTGTACTGAAAAATACAAGACGTGGACAAGTGTGAGCATGTATTGCATAGCTCTGTGCTACACTTCACAGTTTGGGAGAGTTTATGAATGAATATGACAATGTTGACCACTAGCTGGCAGCATAAACAATTTATTATGCCATTTCCTCAAAGGCACAGACCTGACCACAATATAAGACACTTTTGATGAGCAGACGATCATTTCTCAATTCTTTGAACATGACTGCTTCCAGTCAAAAAAGCAGCTACTGATAATTTCTCTCTCATCGTTTGTGTTTGACAGCAGCACTGTACACCTCTTTTGCATATTTTACCAAAAACCCAGAGCTATCCATTAATGTTTACCACACATATTATTAAAATCAGTTTAGACAAATTAGCCTTTTGAACTATGCCTCAGTTAGTAATGTTCCTTGTTTTAGCCCAGTGACGACAGCATGTCATACTGGCATCAATACAAAAAGCAAATTGCTAACTTATCTTTATTGGGATTAGAATGAATCTAGTCATGTATTTCATGCTCCCTAACATCTTCTGTAGCAAATCTTTAAGTGATCAAGTGAGGGAGCAGTTACTAAATGTCATTACTGTACCATCAGCAGAGGGGTTTCCCAGCAGTTTGGTCACCTCCTTGTTGGTGGGGTTCTGTCCCAGAGCGCGCATGATGTCAGCAATCTGGTTGTAAGCCACCTTGTTGTCACCCACCCTGTCGAACAGACCGAAGGCCTCCCTGTAGTCTGTTTAACAGAAGCAAGAGAGGATTTTGCCAGCTTAATGATCCATAATTTCCATTTTTATTTGATCTCAAAGTTGGTAAAATTTATAATCATTATAGTTTGTTATGTCTTTATCATGGACAGTAAGACATTTCTGTTATATTCCTTCTAACTGTAGAATTTCTTTATTAAACAGAAACTACAGCAATGCAAAAACCTATTTAAAGAAGAAGAACTACATTTGGGGCACATTTACATTTAATTGCATAAAAATAGCACTAACCTGAGGTATTGCAATATTTTTGCATTTATGTTTGTATAAAAAGAAGCTTGTGATGTTTATTTTATAGACTAGCACAGTTGCTCATCAATATATGTGATATGCATTGTCATCTGATTGTATGTATATGCAAACATAACATATCTTACTTCAAAAATTGAAGTTATAGTTTGTGTAAATGCTTTTTTTAAACCAAGTCACTAGTTTATATTTCAGCCTTAGCTGTTGCCTGTCAGCAGGTGGAGACAGCTATGCTACAAACTGACAAGGAAAATATCTAACAAGTGCAAGACATCCCAAAAGGTTGTGGTATTATTGGCTGAATAGAGTCTCTCCTGCCGATCTCGTCACCCCTCATACTATTTCCATCTCAGCTGTCTCCTTCTCTCTCAGTCAGCGGGGCAATGGGCTCTTTTAAAAGACCACCTTGGAATTGATAAACATAGCTGAGAATATGAGCTCCTCCTTTTAAAGGCAAGGCCCTCTGTGGGCAAGCTGAGTAAAAGTAGGGAATGCTGACTGCAGTGTAACAAGCAGCCTGCCAGACTTCAGGTTTGGTCATGTGGTTCCAACCAACAGCACACAGGTGTTTCTATCTGTCAAACACTACACTATCATTTTACTGTGCTTCCATCTGTAATCTTTAAATCTTCCGATCTTCTCTTTTTTTTTCTTGTTTTTTTTGGCTGTTGGTTCTTGGAACACAATGATATATCGCTGATCTAGTGACACAGAGTTCTAAAAAGCATGTAAACAAGCTAAAGTTAATATCTGGTCACAGGGATTTGCTGGCTTGATTTGTGACATGTGACCCTTTCGTTATTAAATGATGCTCTTTACAGCCAAACTGTGATGTGATTAAAATGCTTTTTAAAATGCAATCTGAGTGTTTTTAACTTGACACCAGCTGTCCTATTTATTTTTACTAACAAGTTCAGTTAGTTGATGCATTTGTTGCCAGTGTTTTTCATGCAAGAAACCACATGTTTAACCACATATGCGGTTTCTTATTCAAGCATGCAAATCAGTCAAGCTTCTGAAACCGTAAAAGTCTTCCTAAGACTGATTGTACGCATGAAGTGTTTCTGAGCTTCATTAGCCACAAATGGGCTTCAGAACGGATTTGATGGCTTTGTGGAATTTCAAAATACAAAAATGAATGAGGTGTCCAACTGTCATGGATACGCTGAGACCTGTTATGATGTCTATTGTAGTTTTTTTTTTACATTTCTGTACTCTGTTATTTCTCTTTTGCTCCCTGTATGTTGTTAAATTGATGGAATTTGCAAGTCACATTTTATGATAAAGGCAGATTTTCAGATTTCTCTGATGGAGGGCCAGCTGAGTTTTGTGGACTGTAAGTAACAGTATAGAACTGAGGTGAATTGAGTTTTACATACCTTCAATCTGGTCTGCGCTGAATTCCACCTACAAGCCAATATAAAAGCAACATTTTAGTAAAAAACATGGAAAGGCAAAAGTTATCACTTGCCATGTAATTAACATCACATTTGTATTCAAACAACGTGATCAGGCACTTCCCATTTATTGTGCCCTAAACAATCACATCAAAACCGAATTTAGCTTCATATTATGCCACATATGTAGGTCCATCTTTAGCTACGTTAACATGTCCACATTTGGTGTCACTCTGCATTGCCATCACATATTAGTCCCTACTCTGATAGTCCAATCCAGAGAGCCCAGGGTGTGGTCTAAGAGATCTAAGACATGGTGCGCTATCCATGGTCCCACTCATTCTCCCCAATACTCTGCACACCTT